AACAGTAAAGTGGTTGAATCGCCAGCCGCCGACAAAGCAGATGCCGAAGAAATGGAAGTTGGTCACACTGAAATACAACATGCCGTCGAAGATGTGATACAATTTTTGCAAGACAATGTTTGCGATTCGGAACCGTCGACATCCGCCACAACTGCCAACGCAGAAAAGCAGGGGCCTGAACATATCGACCCAACGAGTACGCAACAAAACGTCGATGTCATCAAAGAAATGGTACAAGAAAATGTATGCGATACAGAACAATCAACACTTGCGAGTTTCCCCGAAAAACAAACTATTAAAAAAAGTGTTGTGTATGCACACGCATCGCCAATGGACACGCGTGATGATGAACTTGTATTGGACGAAAAAACGGGTGAGCTACTTCATAGTTGCAACTGACGACGATACAGATTCAGAAATCGATGAAGATCGTGCTGAGAATGACGATTTTTTAGAGCAACGTTACCCACCTATACTCGATAGCGACATTGAAATTGAATCCGACACAGAAATTGGTGTTACATTCGATTATGTTGCCTCCGGCACTGGTGAATGGAGAATGGCCACGGAGGAAGACGGCGATATATTTACTCTTCCAGTTTTTGAACACGAACCTGGACCAACTTTCGAACTGCCTTCATATGCTTGTGAGGTGGAATATTTCTACAAATTTATCCCACCAGAACTGATAGAACTGGCTTCCATCGAGACTAATAAATACGCCAAATATCATAAAAAATGCATTGCAAAAAAATTAAATGCCCGCTGGCGTAATACAAATTTCAGTGAAATGCAAGCATTCTTTGGTGTGATGAAATGTATGGGTGTTGATCACAAATCAGCAACCGACGATTATTGGTCGAGTGACCCCTTTCTGCAGAATATGGGAATTGCGTCAGTAATGACTCGGATCAGATTTCAAATGCTAATGCGTTATTTTCATTTAGCAGATCCAGTAAATGACCCACGGTGGGATCCTGACATTGAACGTCGTCGTCAATGATCAGAGGCCAACCTGTTGTATAAAATGAACCCGTGACTGAAACCCGTACTCGAAAATTTTCGGCGATACTACCAGATGGGACAGGAAATTTCGATTGATGAGGGTACGATTAGATTCAAGGGACGGTCCAAGTTTAAGCAGAGATTGCCCCACAAACCCTACCGTGATGGCTTCAAAATACTACAGCCCTTCACAGAAAAAAACCATATTCTTTTCTGTGATTCGCTTTTTACGTCAGTTAACACAGCCCTTGAATTACAAGACAAGAAAGTGTACATGGTCGGTAGTTTTAGCAGACGAAATCGGAAAACCATGCCGCCGCAATTAATTCCTGAGGGGAAAAGCAAGAAGCTGAAATTGAAAATTGGTGAAATGAAAGCAGCAACTAGACCGGACGACACTATCAATATTACTGCATACTAGGAAGACAGCGCGCAAATATTGATTTTAAATACAGTCTATCCTCCACTGGCTACGTCGGCAGAAGCAGTAGATGCCGAGAGACACGTGCCTGTATCGTTACAATGTTACAGACATCACATGGGTGGCGTGGATCGTTCTAACCATAGGCGAAAATACCGGTACTATCACACGGGCAGAAAAAACAATCGTTGGTGGATCTACATGGCCTGTTATTTCATAGATGTTGCATTGGTCAATGCTTAAGAATGTTTCAAGGCATTGAATCGCACGACTAAAGTAACGCACAAATTCTTCAATATCCGCACAGGTAAACAATT